AGTAACGGTCGAATCCATCAAAAAATATTTCAAATGCCTGACATTTGTTGCCAAAACACAAAACTAAAATTTCATGCTATAATTTAATAATATGCTATATATTTCACATCTTTATAAAAACTGAGTTCATTTGTGGCAAAACATAAAAAATACGTACAAAAACTACACTCTCTGCCTTTAAAACGCATCTTGATTTTTGTCGATAGGACACTCGGATCAAAAGATATTAAATTTTTACCGTCGTGCTGATACAAATTTTATTGAGCATTGATTTTGTGCGCGGAACTGACATTCAAAATCGCCGGTCGTTTCAAGCATTGTTTCTAAGAGAATGGTTCATTCTTTTTTCGCCGGGAAGATCCTTTCGGATTGTTCCGATGCCAATTCAATTGCATCTTTAGTCCTGTTTCAAGTAGCTAATGTCGATGCAGGTCATTATGCACGGTAGAGTCGAAGGCAAAAATGGAATAGGTAGAAAGAAGAAGTCAAGGCTGCGAAGTATTCGAGACTGGACAAACATGACTGTAGATAAATTATTCCACGTTGCAAACGACAGAGAAACGTTTAGATTCAGCTTATTTATATGATTTTTAGGAGTTAACTCTCTGACCACCCTTTATGTTAGTTCAATGAATTTGGTACGGAGATTTCCGACGTTTTAAAAATAGACATTTAATGGGGTGCTGTCGTGTTTTTTTTGGCATCTTAGTTTTCACAACAGGCTCACCGTTACGGTACCTAATGATCAAATTTTCTTCACTATTTGAAATCCCAGAATTTGCCTTGTTATTTTTTATTAGTCCTACACAAATAACTTTCTTTATTGTTGGGAGTTCCTGCTGCATCCCTAATTTGTTAAAAACCTCATCCACTATGGACTTAGTACGAGCAATACGATCCTTTAATCTTGTGGAATTAGACTCAAAAATATTATAAACCATCAAGTTGTTACCTCTTATTGTTCTCTGACTCACCTCATGAGATATTGACTCAGCATTGGTGAATTTTTGCTTGTATTTTGCCTCCTTCAACAAGCTAACCGCATGATTCAGAGTTTGTACTTTCCCTTTCAATTTAACAATTAAACACTTTTGAATACTTTGCGACATTCCTGACAAAAGATAAGGGTATATTTTTGTAAGACAACTGCTCAAAGGCAGAAAGACCAGAGCATCCTTTGGCTAGATGAATGCGATAAGAGTAGGCCATACAGGTATTTTGAGGCATGGCAGATTCTAACCTCACAATTTATTTTCAATACAAAATCGCAAAACTGCTGACAAATCTTGAAAGTAGGAGGGTAGGAAAAGTCCAAAAGTAGATAAACAGCTAAAGCGCAAAAAAAAAGAAGTGTCGTAAAATTGGCATGGAGAGAGAAAAATAATGGAAAGCAACCGCTATTTAGATCAAGGATGCGGTGGACGGATAATGTTGCAGCAGATTTCCGTGCTCTAAATATTGAATAATCAGAGAAGTTAATGATGGACTGTTGCAAGTGGAGACATATTGTAAGTCAGCAAAGATCCACCCCGGATTTTAGTGTTAGAGTAAAGTAGATGAAGAAGTAGAAAAGGTGCTTGATTTCTAAGAGCCTAAAAGGTTAAAAATAATTGATAGTCAGAAGACAGACGGTGTTTGTGAAGGAAGGATATGACTAATATCGAGAGCCTAAGAAAACAAAGTTTTTGAAGAAGCAAAAACAATAAAATAACGAAAGATTTGTAAACCAGATACTATTAAGCAATAGAGAAAAACAAAGCCCAAAAATTTAATAACAAAAAAGTAGAAACAGACCTAAAAAGTCTTACTTAGAGTAAAAACCTGGAAAAGTATTGCCAATATAAATCGATCCTGTGTTCTTTTGTTTCATATCGTTTAATCAGAAAAAATACCTTCATTACATTTCTCATTTTTTCAGTATTGTTAGTTTAGTTTATCCTTACTGTGTCTTGATTTTTAGGTAATACATTACCGTTTTTTATTTAAAAATATAAAGATGTTAGAACAACATTTATTCCTTTGTTTATTCTTTTGTAATAACCACACCACAAGTGTTATTTGTGTCCCACTATATTTATAATTTTTATTTCCAAAAAAAACTACTTATGTATAGCGATACTACAAAGGCAATTTTTTCTTTTCATAAATCTTAAAATAAGAGAAAGTTTTGTTATTGTTTGTGAACATACAGATTGTGATTAGCAGTTGACCACATTATATAAGAACTCCCCGTTCGAAATGAAATAAGAAGACAGTATTAGCTACTGAGTGGTCTGTGACAAAACGTGTTGTGTGGGTGATTGAAATATGTCTTCCCGTTGATAAAAAAACACGTCTTGAACAGGAGGTAACTTGCATATTCAAGCATCTTTTATTTTCTGATGTATTAGTTTAAAAAATTAAATTATTCTGGTTTAAATTAGCCAATGTGTTTAATGAATTATATATGCATAAATTGATATACATTATTAATATACTAAATACTTTTTCAAATGAAATCGCTAATCGTTATATATAATACTATCTTTTTAATATTTTATATTCTTTATTTATTTTATTTAATTCTTAGGAAAGACGTTTTTGGTCTTCTATTTGTCATGCAGTTTAAAGTGTTCCATGCCAACTCTGTATTTGATATTTTTCATTGTATTTAAAGCTTGTTTCGTAAATATTCATTTCAAAGCTTTAGTTATGTAACAATAAAACACTAAAAACTTTGTTTTCAAAACTTCCACAACATTTATTATAAAATCACACATTAACACATTAACATCTGTTTCGGCAGAGTGCCTTTCTCAAGTGATCTATTTTTGTCATGTGTTTACATTTTATAGTCTTTAATGAAATAGGTTCAGGAGGGAACAACTGTTTATCTCAAGTTGGTCATTCAGAATTATATCTGTGTTTTTTAATTTGTTAATTTCCATAGATTCTAACAAAGATAGCTTAAGGCCTTTATTTTGAATGTGAAGAATTTGAAATTTGTCATTAAAAAAATGGTTATGATCTAGAAGGAGAAGTGCGTATGTAGAATCTGTTTTTCTATTATTGAAAGCCCTTTTATGTACCGCAATTCGTTTATTAAAATTTCTACCAGTTTGACCGATGTAAGTTTTTGGGCAGTCGCCATATTTAAGTTTGTATACACCACTGTGTAAGTGCATGAACAAGGAAATGAGAAATATGGGACCACGTACGTGGCGGAGGAAGTCGATGGATAGGGACGACCGTAGAGAAATTCTTGAGGAGGCTAGGACCCACGCAGGTTTGAAAAATTAGAATGATGATTACTAGTTATCTGAAGAGGTCATAATTAGAAAAAATGTTTGTTAGTTTATGCATACTATATCAGCTGTTATTTACCGTTTATACGTTTATACAGCAACAAAATTATAGAGAATGTACTCTATAACTGCGAAAAAAGCCTAGCCATAAATGATGTAAAAATAAACAACTTAAGGTATGCCGACAACACAATTTGACGTATTTTTTAAGTTTGAAGTTGCAATTTCAAACCTGGAGGGTTTACAAGAGTTGCTTAATCAAGTTGTATCCAAAAGTCCTGATTTCGGGCTTAACCCGAATCGATGAAAAACAAAGTGGTTGGTGGTCTCAAAAACAAAAATCTTCAGAGGCATATTGAAAGTGAATAGCCATTAAGTAGAACAGGTTTTTTTTTCGTACAAATACCTAGCTTGCCAGCTTAATAAAACTGGGATAATATCCAGGAGATTCGTGCAAGAATTGAACAGGCCAGACAGTCATTTATCAAAATAAAATCGATTTTGTATAGGCACGATCTTATTACGACGCTACTATATATTCAGTATATTCTATTGTGACGTGTATGAAAACTGGTAGTTCTTGAGACATGGTGCTACAGTAAGATACTCAAAATACCATAGGTAGACACAGTGCGTAACAAGAGCCGTTGTAAAATTGAATAAAAAACATTGAAATATTGTTTACTATAAAAAAAAGCAAGTCTTAAATTCTTGGCTACATCTTAAGAACTGACAAATGCGAACTTCTAAAATTAATAATAGAAGAAAAGATCTAAGGAAAAAGAGCTCCAGGTCGTAGGCCTACTTCCTGGTTAAAGAACGTTACATAATGGTATGGAGTCAGCACTTTAAAAAAGCTGTTAACAAATGTTGTTAACATGCTACTTGAAGAAGAAGAATTACTTTGAAAACCTAGATTACAACATCATTCATTGGGAAAAACATGCACAAAGAACTAATATATGGGAAATGAGTCAATACTCACAATCTTAATTAGTTTTTATTAATAAAGTTGGTAAAATTTGGGATACCGGTTTTAAGGCTTCCAATATTTGCCTCATCATCAGGCCCTAGTACGTTATTTTTATTTCTGCTAAAAACTAAAAGATATCGGGTACAGGAAAGCTCTATAATTGAGGTACTTCAGAGAATCACCTTCCCCCTTACCTTAAGGAATACATTCACTGGCACTTGAGATTTAGTTATAGAGCTTTCTTGTACCTGATATTTTTTAGTTTTTCACACAAATAAAAATAACGTACTGGGGCCTGATGGGGCAAATATGGTAAGCCTTGAAACCGGTAGCCCAAAATTGACCAACTTTATTAAATAAAAACTGTTTAAGATTGTGAGTATTGACTCATTTCCCATATAATAGTATTATGGACATACATTAGCAACCTTTTCATCATGTACACAGAAGGTTATCATTGGCATATTGAACATTTGGCAACGAATATGCGCTAAAAAAAGAAGTAAATATTTTAATTTTTAATTATTTCAATAACAAACTTTAGGTATAAATTTAGTACTCAAAATTATGTACTTGATATAATACAAAGTAATAAACAGGAATAGCATTACAATTATTTACAAACAATAACTATTCGTTGATATTTTTAATTTTAAATCTTAATTAAAAAGCTTTTATAAACAATATACAAACCCTGACATTATAGTTCAAACATTTGGCACCTTATCTGCTTGGATTTAATGATGTTTGGAATTATTAAAAGTAGGCCCAGAAACTGGACCACCAGTAATACAATCAAATTAGAAAATGCAAGAGAAACAATGCTGTAAATAATTAGGTTTTAACGATAGTGATACTATAAATAATGTATTATTCAAATAAGTACTTTAATCTTTAAATTTTAGTCGTAAACAAGTCCAAAAAACATTCTTGAGATTGTTGATTATTCAAGATAGTTACCTGATTGTCTGTATTACCGAAGCTTCAGTTATAACTGTTGATAGTGATTTTGATTCTTTTAAATCGCATATTGAATTTGAAGTCGCAAAATTTTCACGTAATATTTCTATACCAAAATATAAATATTTGTCACAAGTAAAAAAATATTTCACGTGTTTTTATGCAGAAAACATATCTAAGTCATCCCAATCATTAAAAAATAAATTAAAAATAATTAATGCTGCTTAAAAAAATGAAAAAACTTAGTAGATAATAGACGAAAATTAAAAAATTGTAATTCAAAATTATTTACAAGATATGAGACCCAGGAAAACAATCGAATACAATCTCCAGAAAGCTGCAAAAAATCCAAGAGTCCAAAAATATTTACTCTGCTTCTCCGTAGCGAAGGACAGTATATTAAAAATAACAAAAAGCAGCTAAACTCTTGCAGCACCTAGAAAATGATTTCCATTTTCTTATACAGGGCACATAGTCAAAACAATATCAAAGAATAATTAGATAAATTCCTGAACTCCCCATACTAACTGTAAACTTTAACTGTAACTATAAATTAACGTATTTTCATACTAATCAATCAATCAATTAATAATGCCTTTTATTTTTTAATATAAAAAATACAATACAATATTCCCTTTTAGTGACATTTGTTCTCCTTGGCTAATTTGTCCTACTAAGATTTAGACATTTTTCCTAGAGAGCTTGTCTCGGCTGTTTCAGTTATTGTTTTAAATCCACTTCTACGGTTAAACATTTTCTACTAACACTACATCATCAGCATACAGTAATCACCAAGGAATGTTACTATGTAGTTTTCCTGTTATCTAATCCAACATCAGTAAGAATTAATGAGGACTTCTCGATCTTCTGCAAAATGGAATAATTGTCCTGCATTTGATATCTGAGTCCATTCACGAATGTTTTTGACCAAGAAACTTCCAATGGCCCTCTATTGTGCCTTTAAGGATCAGTTATAATATTTTATACCGACTTCCCCTTACTATATGTCTCAGATAAGACATTTTTCGATGTTTAACAGTCTTTAGCAGTTATCTAGTGTTGTTGACGCTCCTTAATACTTCTTCATTAGTTTTCCTTGCTGTCCAAGGTATCTTCAGCATTCGTTTATGAACCCACATTTCCAATGTCTCAATCTTGTTCATGATCTATACTTTTAGCGTCCACATTTCTGCACTATACAAAAGTACGGATCAAAAATAGCACTTAATCATTCTTTGCCTTAGTTCTAAACTGAGATGGTTGTTGCAATGAAATTACTTCATTTTCATAAAAGCAGTTTTAGTCATTGCTATTCTACGTTTTATTTCTATGTCTGGATCTAGTTGGTCCGTTAGTTCCCAAATTTGTCATTTTGTGAACTTTCTCAATTTGGACTCGATGTGGATCACGACTAAACACTAAAAATTTGGTTTTGTTTGAGTTTATTTTAATGCCCACTTCCTCTCTTACCTCGTAAACACGATTAAGCAGGATTAAAAGACCTTCAATATTATCTGATAGAATAACTGTATCGTCTGCATATCTAATTACATTAAGTATTTCCTTGTTGATTTTGATTCCATATGGTTGTCTCTAAAGTGCCTTTTTAAATAATTGGTCCGAGTAAACATTGAAAAATGTTGGCAACAAAATGCAACTTAATCTGACTCGTCGTTGTATAGAGATTTCATCGGTATAGTTATCTCCAATTTTTACGATAGCAGTTTGATTCCAGTACAAATTTTTATTGACACGAATGTCCTGGTCATCTATTCCGATATTTTTCAGTATTTGCATTAATTTTACATGCTGTACTTTATCGAATGCCTTTTCAAAGTCCACGAAACATGCAAATACATCCTTTCTTTGGTCACATTTTTGTAATAGGATGTTACGCGCGTAAAAAGTGCCTCCCTGGTTCCCATAGCATTACTAAAACCAAATTCCGTATCTTCAAGATCTTCTTCGCATTTGCATCTAATTCTGTGTGAAGTATTCTAAGAAAAATTTTAAAGGTGTATCTCATTAGGCTAATTAATCGATATTGTGAGCATTTTGTCGCATTGTGTTTTTTAGGTATTGCGACAAAGATGGATTTGAGCCAATCTGCGGGAATCACTCCAGTGTTATATATATATTGAATTAAAAAGTCTTACTACTACTTTTATGTTATCATTCTCTATTAGTTTCAGCAACTTAGTTGGTGTATCATTTAAACCACAAGCTTAACTAATTTTAGCATTATTTATAGCGTGTTTTACTTCGCATTTCATAATTTCTGGGCCGTCAGTACAGTTTTCGTAGAATTCGGCAATATTATTCCTGTCATCTTCAAACAACTCTGATATATACAGCTGCCATTCTTTTCTTATTTCTTGCTGTTTTACAATAATTTTGTTATTAGTGTCAACAAATACAGAGGGAACTCGTTTTTTAAATATATTACTCATTTCTTTCAGTTTTTTGTGCACATTAAATACGTCGTGTTAAGATATTACATCCTCCATTTCGTCGCACCTTTCTCTCATCCATTTTTCTTTGGCTAACCTGATCTTTTTTATTCTTCTCTGCAGGCGTCTATATTCTGTTACAATAAATTTTATCAGTCGACGTTGTTCCATTACTTTCAAGATGTCGTCTGTCATCCATTTATTTTTCTTGATTAAGTTTTTTCTATAATCATTGTTTATGGAGATTTCGTTAACATAGTTTTTAAATTCACTCCATAGTTCTTCTGGATCTCCTAGTTATTCTCCGATGTTTTTTTATTTTAGTTTTTCTACTTTTCTCAATATTTTAGCATTCTAAGTATGTCACATTTTTTAGCTTCAGTTGGCAACATATTCTATTCCGATTATTTTTAGAATTCTCTTCGTTTTTCAATATGTCTTTGATCTGATACATGATGTCTTTATTTAAAATCCACAAGGAAAATAATTCCTGCAGCTGGCTGTATACCACGTATCACAAAAAAGAGATTAAATGCGAAATACGAATACACAGTACGAAACAATACTCAACAGTATGAAAACATATACCCGAATCCAGCCCAGACCTTCGACTACTTATCGTAGTTATTTTTAGAGAGCATGTTATACAAGACAACGCCATAATCAAGAGTTATTGAAACAGACTTTAATAGAAGGTTTGGATAATCTGTCTATGTATGTGTTTAGTACAGCGATCGATGAATGGCCTAACAGAATTTGGAGCTGTTTTCTGGCAAATAGCGGCCATTTTAAATAAATTTTTTTAAACATAATGACGGTATTAGATTTTTATTTCGATGCAGGATGGCGGCAAGCTGCTTATACGTATTTCAACCTATTTAGGTATCATCAGAGCGACAAATGCCACCGCTCTGAATCGAAACAAAATCTATCCCGTCGTAAGACAATAATTATCGAAATAATTATTTACAGACGTAACTACGCCATCTAATATCAACAAGAGAAATCATAAGACTTCTTATCTAGCGAAACTGAATTTAAATCTTCACCACTGTGCTTTCTACAACTTGAAAAGCAAATAGATTGATGGATTGGTCGGCAAACTACAAAATTATTTGTAGATTGTAGATCATTATATAAGTATTAAATTGTGGAAAAATTTTTCAAATCAACTCAATAGTTTAAATTTTTTTAGTTAATTACCTTGTATTAAAATTTATGGGCAGATTAGGTATATAAAAGTAGTTTCAATCTCGTTTAATACATATATCCATATTTTATAATTATATTTAAAAAATAACTTTTGTTTATCTAGAAAACTTTATTTATAGCAAGGATGAATCTATTTAGAATTCTGCATGGTAATAATAAACCACTTACTAAGATCTTTTATTTATAGATTAACCCAAAGTCCTAGTAGTTTCCAAGCAGACATAATGATAACAATGTTTTTGTCTCGATTGTGTACTAAGTAATTATTTTTTACCATGTCAATAAACATTTTTATTGTTCTTATTAACTACACTCCTACAATGAGTGATTTTTCTCGAACAAAATAATTAACAACTAATAATTTTCTTATCCTCTGGTAAATAATGCGGCGTCTTTACAGCAACATAAATATCTTAATTTTAATGATCAATTATAATTTTTCCCTGAGATGAAAGTGAAATCATTAAACACATCACGGTATCGTAAATGAAACTAATTATTTATTAAAAAGATAATGAACAGAAATGATTTCATCTAAACATAGCAGAATTAACCTGAGATGAGGACTCAGTTGTTGCAACAATCAAACTTCAGGCAATATTTATAATTGGTGAAAAAAATGACAACTGGACAAATGGAACAAGTTTGTTCAATTTACTTTTAGCAACTATAAAAACCTATATCTTTAAATCGGGAATTCCTACTAAAGAAGACAAAAAACACTTATAGTCCAGTCATCAGAGATTTTACCTCCAAAAATCATACGAACAAGCTGAATTTTGATGAGAATGTCAATTTTCGTACCCCAAACAAGATGCAAAAAATTACCACTTTTACCCTTAGCTTTCCCCTAAAATGTTCCTTCGTGGGGGGAAACATCAGAAAAAATCGATTTTCACAGAAACTGATATTTCAGGTTAAAATTGAATAATGAAAATACTCCCCAAACAGCAAATTTATTTAGAGTGAATTTACTGCAATGCAATAAAAACTTCTTCCTTTCAATTTTCTTTACAATAGTATCATATTACCTATCATATTTTCAATAAATCACAAAAAGACCCTCCTATATATTTAATACTTGGGAACGTAATACGACCAAGAAATCTGATACACCCTTTGGAAATAAATACAGTGAAAATACATCCAAAATAGTTTAGTCAAAAGTGAGTGAACTACAATTGTCTTGCCAGACGGGTAAGTCATTAAAAAAATGTTCTACGGGTTATATGCAGGTATTTAAAAATAAATTCAATTTCTATAAAATTCAAATAAATATAATATTACGTTTCCAAAATTTCCTATAAATGTTTTCTTTTATTAATGTAGCTTTAATTTCAGATAATATCAGTATTCTGACAAGTTTTTTTTGTACTCTTAACGCCACTTTGCAATTCTGCACTTTCTCATAATTGTCGCCCATTGTCTCAATTAG